TCAAGAATAACTGAAATCATGGATTATTCTTTTTACATGGCCTTTATATAAATGAGCCCTAAATCATGCTAAATGACTACTCAAATAAACATTTTGGAGAAATCTGCTTAACTTTGCTTTAGAACTACTCTGGGCAGCAGAAAATTGTGTAACACCTGGACAAAGCCTAGACATTACCCTGGGAGAAGGTTGTTCTTCTGTAAATCTTTAAAATCTTCAATAGTATGCTGTTCATTTGACATTATTATGTTCTTCTGTTGTTGCTGTATGAACAGATGGTTGGTAAATTGAGACAAAATTGATATTTTAGCTGAGATGCCTGTGGGGTTACAGCAGTTTTAAAGCAATCAGCTGTGAACCAGATATGGAGTCTGAACATTTCTGACCTTATAGTTTTAACTGTTTGTAGCAGTTCATGAGCATTTTTTTAATGAGCAGTTTTACTATGGGGCCTTACAGTAATTACAGTAAATGAAATTGAGCTATTTAAATTCCACATTGTTGGACAATAACGGGATTTTATTATTTTTTCTCTATTCTTAAGATAAATTTCTCCCCTGGAGAATTTAATGTCACAAAAGAACTGCAACCTGGGGTTTATTGGTTTGGCTAAAGTAACATTTATTATATTTATTATATTCAAATTAGAGGACATTTCTAAATAAAATGCTCCACTAAATGGAGTTAAGATATAAACTAAGGCCAATGAAGTCACTATAAGCTGTATGTTGTTGGTAAATCCAATGAGCTTGTGCTAAGTTTAAAATGACTTAACCGTCACTTAAACAATAGTGAAGATGTTCATCTCTGCCCTACAAACACCTTTTTTATTTAACTGCTGTTAGTCTATCATTCAAACATTAGCAGATTTTACAGGCATTGTGTCCGTTTTCCCTAGAGCCACATGCTTCACTCTGTGGTTCGGTTTATCTAAGCTCATATTTAAAACTGAGGGGGAAATTTAACTCTGATGTAACACCTGACAATAACTATTTCTAAAGTGAAAGTGCAATTCAAAATTGATTGTGGTTTTGCAGATAGGGAAATGAGAGCATGGTGGAACCAGACAGACAGATACTGCAAGAAGTTTTCATACTTCTATCTTTTTATTCATGGTGATAAATGGATGTAAAGCGGGGAGGTTAACAAAAAAAAGAAAAGTCTTAACATATATCTTTAAAATACCAGAATAGCCCATTAGTTACACTGCAAATTCTGATGTAAAACTAAATATACGGGTATTTACCCTCATTTGAGCAGGTACAGTAAACGTATCTTTCCAATGGAAGGAGAAAAAAAAGATATAAACTGCACTAGAAAGAAGTTATTTTTTTCTTATTTAATGTGTAGAAATATGCATGTAATCAACATATAGAGTATGACTCAAATGCATAAATAAGTTAATATATTATTTCCTTGTGATTAATAAATATG